TTCATCGCTATCTGTGCTCGCATCCTCTTCTAGCATCAGTTCGTTTTGCTGCACCGTACGATACACATCGTCTCAGCAAAACCTCCCACCCACCCATTCATGCAAAGGTCTCTATATAACCGCTTTCTATACCTTATCCGATCTCACTCAAGTGTAACTCATGTTTATCTGCTCATGAACAACCTTAGCAATAAACAGGTAAGGGGGTTTCCACCACAGACCAAGCAGACTTTACATGGGTACCCACGCTGTCCATCCCCCTGGGGTTGTGAGTTTATCTGCAAGCCCTCGCCAGGGGGACGCCAGCCATGACGCCCGCCTGTACAGTCCCTGCTGGTGGAAGGATGCGACCAGGTACCACGCGCTCAGCGTCATGATGCAATTCACAGGCAAGTCGCATCATGGCGCTGTTCACTGCGACGCCTGCATCCGCAATTCGCTCCCCTTCCACTTTTGCCAAAACCTTGTGTCTTGTGTCACTTATTGAAGCATTAAATAATCCTAGAAATATAATCAATATAATGTATGTACAAAAATAAGTTATTGTTTTGTTTGTTTATACTGTAGGACATCAATGATGAAGCACCTGCATTTGCCAACAATACTTATTCAGTAACGATATTGGAACAATTGCCATCACAGAGCAGTATATTCCAAATTACAGCAACAGATTTAGATTTTGTCAGTCGACCATCAGATTTTGTGTACTGGATAAGTGGAGGAGACGAGGAGGGAAAATTCTCCATACATCCAACTCAAGGAGATATCATAGTGATTGGTGATATTGATAGTGATTCACCAAATAATAATACGTTTTATAATCTAACGGTAATTCTATTTTTTTTTTTACTATTTTCTTGTGAAATGTTTGAATCTTTCATAACATTGAATTTAGTATTTACATGATATTTGTTGTTGGAGGTTTTTAGCATCTGCTGAATAATAATGATCAGAATAATAATTTTTGACAACCGTAAGTACCCAAACAAAACTTTGAGATATCTTGGGAACTTTTCACCAATGATAAATGGCCCCAAAAAAATACAATTTTCATAGATTATTAATCTGTTCTTTGTACGAAAAGTAGTTTGGTTAACATATATTTTTGTTATCTGAGTTTTTGTGAACAAGAGCATATACGAAATCCGTAGTGTAAACGTTCAGTAAATCTGATAATTTGCTTTCATGGTATCCATCCAACTTTGTTTTGTGTATGATATCAGTGAGGAAGGATCATTACTGATGGCGATTAAAACAGTTTCTTATTTGCAGTTCTGCTTGGTGTTAACAACCATTATCAATGTTAAATTCTTCATCAACAGGTGTCAGTGACTGACAGAGACAGTACAACTAATAATGACACAGCAACAGTCTTGATTACAGTTATAGACATCAACGATAATGACCCGCAGTTTTCAGAAGGTAAGTGCATAATTGTAAGAGCACAGAATGTTATATTTATAAAAGGTGCACCATCCTGATAATATCCACAGATCACTAACTGTGCAATCCCTAACAGCATGTTTTATCCCATTAACAACTTTTCCAACAGTACATGGGATCTTGCAACCTACATACATGTAAACCCCCATCCCTCTCCCTTCCCCCCCCCCTCGCCTCCCCTCGCCTCCGCTGATTCTGTCAAGGGCAATTAGCCCTGAATCTCATATCCCTTTTACTGCGAGGCTTTCAAAAAAGCATTTTTTTTTTTTAAAAGCCCAATTTAACAACAGGTATGGCATATTGTTACTTTACATTATCAGGTATAATCTTGTATGTTCTATTTGTTGTATTTCACATTTTTTTTTATGCCTTTCATTTTCAGTTTTATTTAATCCTATCTTATCATTTGCTTTATTTTTTCTTCTCAGGATAAGGTACTGATTTTATTTTAATTTCATTGGGATTTGGGATACCGATTTGTTCTAATCTTGTTTAATCTTATATATGGGTTATATTCTTACATAATAATTACTTAATTTGCATAATGTGTTACATCATAAAAACATGTACATGTTCTGGATTATTTTTATCAGGTGAAAGTCAAACACTGACTGAATGTACCAATTATACACACATTTACACATAGTACCTTAAAATGCCCTCCCCCCAATTAACTGGTCTATTAGTTTACAGTCAATTCTTTTAAAATTCCTGTTAATCAACTAACCTGGGTAATGATATGCAGTGCTGTTGAGCGTGACGCCATCAAGGATTAGGGTGCTGTATAAATATCTGCATTATTATTATAACTAGTATATATTACATATCAATGCAAATATATACTTCATTCTACTGCATTTTGCTGCAATCTTTGATCAAACAGTGACGAAACCGGGAAAAAATTTAAAGGTGGGTTTCTGAAATTTCCCATAATCGTAATGTGGTACTGTAGTTTTCATCTTAACCACTAACATTACACATAATTCACATTAATACTTTATATAAATAAAAAATTGTATTATAAACAAGTATAGTGGCAAATACTTTTCTTTTTAATTTACTATTAATAGCAGAAAACACTTTGCATACTAATTGCACTTAATTACATCATTCAGTAGTTTATGTAATTATATATTGTTTTCTGGTCATGTAGTTGCTAGTTGTCACTGGTTAATTTTGTTAGGATGTGTCACATGATTGGTAATGCTAAATGAGAGATGTCATTTCAATCATGTCATTTATAAGATGTGAATTTTATTCATTTTCTTGATGACTGTACTGTAAATTGTTTCTAGAAATGTTACAAAAATGTATCTATTTTGATGGGATGTTTTGATCCATGTACTATATTTTTTACAAAAGCCTATTGTGACTCGCTGTTTTGACCCTTGATTCTCTTTTATCACACCATAATTTGGCAGTTGAGTTCAAGCATATATAGGCAAGGCAGAATTTGATTTGCCAAACAAATCTTTCAACAAACATGCTGCTCTCTGATTGGTCTGATTATTTGTTAGGTTAGCCAATCAGACACAGTCTTGTAAATAGCTTTGCATCGACTTTAATTTTGGTGCAGCGCTTTGCAAATTTCTAAAATTTCTTTTTTATTTAGAACCAACTATAATATTATGCTCTTGATCACCATCCTTAGAAATAAAAAATGGTAAAAATCATGGGTTCAATTTTGTGATTGTGGATCAAAAGGTGAAATTTTCACTGCTACAAAATTTCAAGAAATTCATAGGAAATCAAAACAGTTTACAGTACACAAGTCTTACTGTTATCCATGATTCCGTTAGTTGAGGATACATGCCTTGATTGTTTATTTGTTTGTTGATTATTTACTCCACCAAATCTTGTACCAAGTATATTACCATGCAACTTTACAATTTGTGTTTGGTGAGCTGCTTCTTCCGAATACTTTTCTAGAATTTGATTTTTCTTCATTGGCCATATTGTGTGGTTTGTATGGGAACTTGAATTGTGAGTTTGATTGTTAACCAGGAAACCCTATTCACTAATTTTAAAATATGTTCAAAAAAATACAAAAAAGAAACCCGATGCTCTCCAATTCCTATGATTCTCCCACTTCTATTTTGATGTTCTACCAATTTAAGTTAAGACCTCCACAGTAGGGATAGATAACAACAATGATAATGAATAATAAACAAAATTTATATGCAAACTTTGTGTACACAGAACACAATTACCTGTCAACCATTTAATATCATGCATTATTTTATTGAGTGGTAAGGTTA